ACATGTTTGGTAAGAACGGTTTCATCTCGGTGGCCTTACCACACCGGACTCAAGTTTCAACTTTTTATTTTTAAACTCGTGAGAAACTGTTGAAGAAACATATGTGGGGGGGGGGGGGGGAAGGCTACACGTGTCTAGTTCATTTATCTACTGCTATGCTTATTTCAGTGTCCAGACTTGGCCACCGCGTGGAAACACTGGACTTGTACGTGAATGTCAGGCTGGATGAAGAACTGTTCCTTGGTGAGTTCGTAGCGAGCAGAAACTCTGCTTGGTATAAATTAGTGCCTTTGGGCCTCATCTCTCGGATGAATCGTGTGTGTGCGTGTATATATATATATATGTATATATATATTATATATATATCCTAATTATGTCAAATAATAACTGTTTTTTTTTAAATACAATAACATAACATAAGAAGAACGCCATCGATAGCGGTAAAATTGGGACGACTGCGTAGGTAAGGGAATTTATATGGGAGAAAAAAGAAAGCAAAATTAAACAGCCCCTAAAAATCAACGGTTTTCGTCAAAGCCTTTATAAAATGAAACATTGATCAATACGTGGGGGGGGGGAGAGGGGTTGAAAGTTTAAACAAAACATGCATTTAAGTACCACGCTTTATAATATTCCCAATTAGTGGCCCCCATACACACACTTTTTTCAAGGCTCGCAGCTGCACAATTATTGTTCACAACCCTGAACTATTTTAATCAGTCAGCCTTTATACCGCAGCTTTATTTATTTTACCAACAATTTTACGAAACAAAAGAAAATATTACGCACCAAACGCACTTGCGAATAGTTTTTAAAAGATCTAAAATCGGGAATTTTATTTTATCCTACCCTTGAAAAAACAGGAAAACGGATTTTTTGGGGGGTTTGGGTTGAAAGCTGACAATTTGAAAGAATGGGTTGTCATCGGCGACGGGTGCATCTGCCAAGTTTCAGGTCGATAGTTCGACGGAAAGGGGAGCAATTAGCCGTCCGACGATTTTGCCAGTCCGACACCCAGGAAGCCATCCACGAACAATAGCGAAGTTAATATAAAGATTTTTTTCCCCCCGTTTCACCAATTTCCCAGCCAGGAAAGAGATGGTGCCGTGGAGATTCCGAAGGAGTGAAATGTTAGACAAGAAATGGAAGTCGTTGAACCACGTCATCACTGCTCAGGAGTTCGTGTTGGGGGTGCAACAAGCGAGAGAAGACAGGTTAAAGGTTAGTCAGATTGTAGTCACAATCAAGTCTTTATATAATGAGTGTAAAATCAAGTCATTTTGTGCAAGTTGTTTATATTCAAGTCATTTGTTTGTAAAGTTGTTTTTTTTAGTTTTAAAGGCAATGAATAACATGGCTAGGCACACATTAAACGCTTTACAGTAGGCTAGTTTTTTGGAAATGAATATATTATATGTTAGGCACACATTAAAGGCTTGCCATTAGGCTAGATTTATAGACAGTGAATGACATGGCTAGGAATGCACGAAAGGCTTGCCATTAGGCTAGCTGTTAAGATATAATACAAAAAGATTTTTTTTTTAATAAGGCGAATTGTTCCTAGCTGATAAGACCAATGTATTCAGTATAATAAAATGCTTTTCACTTGTTTGCAGCTGGGGGAAAAAAGAGGGGGGGGGCGGGGGCGCGCAGAAGCAGATTTTTTAAACCGCCGAACTCATTGAGTTGTGATACCGTATTTGATTGTGTGTGTGTGTTTTTTTTTTGTTTTTGTGTGTGTGTGTGTGTGTGAGTTAGATTGTCATAATATATAGATGAATGTTTTTAATAGTTTTTGTGAATTTGATTGTCCCAGATGGATGAATGGTTTAATAGTTATTATGAATTAGATTGTCATAGATATATGAATGGTTAAATAGTTTTTGTGAATTAGATTGTCATAGATATATGAATGGTTAAATAGTTTTTTGTGAGTTAGATTGTCATAGATTTATGAATGGTTAAATAGTTTTTGTGAGTTAGACTGTCCCAGGTAATAGAGGAATGATTCAACCGAACTGCAGATTTAGAATTAATACAACTTAAAATTATAATAATAACTAAAACCCTAATTAAATTAAGGACTTCTGAGGAAGCCTGCTTGCATATTTTATGTCAACATGTTGTGTTCTTTCCGCTGGGTGACCAGCCAATGACTTGCACTACTTGCAGTCCGAAGTCTTGGCAATTCCATATTGGGCCAACAAGAATGATGATGCAAATAAAAGATTCGATTATTTACTTTATCGCACTGCGACCGCTAGTTAAATGTATCAAATGACCAGATTCTTGCGTCTATAAGCTGTTGGGTGAGAGGTTTCGACTGGTAAAGTGAACGCGTGAGTTTTGTGAAGTACTTAAGCATTCATAAATTCGTTTTTAAAATGGGGTTGCGTGGCCGTAAACATCACCAAGTCTTCGTTGATTTCGTCTCTTATTCTTTAGAAACGCATTTAGTGTTTTCTTCTAGACAAAAAAACAAATGTCTTTTTTTATTATTTGCCTTGGGTACCGTAGTTAATTTCTTCATTATTTTTGTATGTGATATCCTTTTTTTATGTGATATCATATTTTTTTGTATTTGAAATCGTATTCTATGTAGCTTCTATTTATTTTAAAATTTGATGTTACCAAACTTTCTCTTTTGTTCACCAACAAAAAGGCTGTCGGCACCTCAACTGAGTCTGTTGATACCCCAGGTCAAACTGTTGCTACTTCAGGTCAGACTGTTGGTCCATCAAGTGAGACTGTTTGTCCATCAAGCCAGACTGTGGATATCTCAGGACAAACTGTTGATACTCCAGGTCAGACTGTTGCTACCTCAGGACACACTGCTTGTCCACCAGGTCAGACTGTTGGTACCGGTACCCCAGGTCAGACTGTTGATACCCCAGGTCAGACAGTGGGTACATCAGGTCAGTCTGTAAAAACGCACATGAGAATATCCGCACTGGAGCTGCGCGATTATTTATTGAAAGATGTAAATAAATATGACAAAGAAGATGAAACGGTTTCACCAGCGGATCAAAACAGTGGGGAAGATGCTGTAGATCCGAGATTAAGAACAACGACCGATTTACAAAGCGATCCACCGTCCGCTCTGGGCGACTCAGTTATGCCAACGAAATCTCAATATCCCGTGGTAGGTCGAGGAACCCGTTACTCCAATCGGAAACGAATTTCTAAAAATGCTAAGTCAATGTCGACGGAAGATGGAGTTGTTGCCGATACAGAGGATAATGCTGGGAAATTATTTAAACACGTTGATCTGGGAGCAAACGACGAATCACAAACTCCTATTGGCAATCTGTCGGACACTAGCATCGAAAATTCTGAAAGCCAAAAGGTATCTTCCAATCCAAAACCATCAGGACATCATATTCTAAACAACGAAATGAAAGAAAGTCAAAAACAGCTTACTAGCAGTCACGTCTTTAAAATGTCACAAACACCAAACAGACACTCAAAATTTTCGGCGCTGGAACTACACTTTTTAAACAGCCCTCTTAGCTTAATTACGGTGAGGCCTGCCTCAGAGTTGAAAAAAGCCAAGTTCGCTAGGAACGCTCAAAATAGAACTCAAGATGGCGGACACCGCCCGGTGTATGCCTTCGGGTCCCATTACATCCCGAAGACGTGTCAATATTGCGGGAGTTACTCTTGTAAAGGATACCAGAGGCGTTCCAAGACTGTTCATCATGGATCCAGAACAGCGCACGGGGACAAAGACTGCGGCCATCAGCGTTCGACGCGCTCAAATGCATTCATGAGTCGGGTCGAAGACATCAAGGGCATCTACGAGCAGAGGCAGGCCGTGTCGCACGCCGTGCACCTGAGAGTCGCACAGCGTTTACAGCGTGTCGGCGTGCCACAGACGAGCTGCACGGCACGCGGCGTAACACGTTAAGGAGAAGAAAGTTTCGAATTGTTAATAAGGGGTCGAATCCTGGTCTCATGTTTGCTATAATAACTTATAATTGTTTCCATATGTTTAATTTTTACCAATAGATAACATCGGTTTAAAAAAAAAAGGGGGGAAAGGGGGAAAAAAGGGGGGGGGGGTGATTCCTGAACCTAAGTTTAAGGTTTTTATTATAAAAAGTTTGTTTTTTTAAATCTCTGAATCTCCTTTTTAAAAAAGGGGGGAAAGGGGGAAAAAAGGGGGGGGGGGGTGATTCCTGAACCTAAGTTTCAGGTTTATATTATACAAAGTTTGTTTTTTTAAATCTCCGAGTCTCCTTTTAAATGGAATTTTTATTTTTTTCCCAGTATAACCCATTCCTAAATAGATCAGTGTGTGTGTGGTGATTCAAGTTAGTCAGTCCAGCACGCAACTTTTGTATACGCAACCTAGGCAAAAAATGATTCATTGCAATATTTTGTTAGGCTTAATAGAATTGTTACAAGTTTGCAGTCAATTGTTGACAAATACATGTATATACTTTATAAGCCATAAATTGTCAACCTTCAATTATTTGCAACTTTTAACATGCCCCCCCCCCTCAAACCTTCAGAGCTGTGAAAGTCAAATGACGAAAAGATCTTGGGATGGGGCGCCCATGAAATACAATGATTTCCTACGTCCTTTTCTAAGTGTTCAGAGATCTCGCATCTCAAACTTTGACCAACTTCCAGATCTCCAATTGAGCTCAAACAAAGAACATTGAGATCATGGTGACCCAACGCTTTCTTTCCCCGCCATATTATGACTGTAACAACTCCGAAGTTGTAGGGGACATTTATTTGATACTTTTTAGTACATTTAGGGAAAAGCGTGTTTTTCAAAAAGCATTTTTTTTTTAAAATATTGTTTTCTTTCAAGAAATTATGCGTAGGGACGCATTACGAAAGACATTTATCCACTGTAAATGTTAAATGAATGTTCCATAATAATAACCTTTATTAACAAATTAAATAACTTTTTTTTAATGAGCGTTTAAAAGCTTCAGATTTTTTTTTATTATTTTTTTAAAGATATTTATTGACTCTATATAACTATGGCTCGATTTAATTAGAAAACGTAATGTACATTAAACCAATACAATTGCGTTGTATTTTACAAATTCTTAAAATGACAAGTTGTTATAGTTTACAGTTTGCAAACTGTAGCGAAATAAAGTGCACAAACAAGTAATAAACGAGTGGGCGGAAAAGAAACATTAGGAATAGTTTATTTTACAAAAATCGAATATTTAAACTTTAAGAATGGATTATTTTAATGGTTCATTTAATAAATGGTAACATTAAATTGATTGTCGTCCGGTAACATTTGTCCGCATGAGCCGTTGATCAGTGCCTACTCTCCTGATCTCTGGCCACTTCCACCACTGTTCAGTGCCTACTCTCCTGATCTCTGGCCACTTCCACCATGGTTCAGTGCCTACTCTCCTGATCTCTGGCCACCTCCACCATTGTTCAGTGCTTACTTTCCTGGTCTGTGGCCACTTCCAGCTCTTGGTCCGCGTAAAGTTCAGGATTGATGCCTTCGTCCACCTCCAGACGGTTAAACCTTCCTTTCAGCATGATGATCAAGGGAATACAGACAGCTATAGAACCTATGGCCGTCCAGTTGGTCCACATGGTGCCTGGGTTTTAAAAAAACAAAAAACAAATTTTTGAAACACATTAGTTTAACCACCAAAGGAACAAACAAGGGTTTACGGTACTTACTTTATTCTAACAAACTAATCCACATAGGGACATAGGGCTCAAATTTATACAAATTTAATATGAGTTACCTAAAACAAAACAAAACAAAAAAATTGACTTAATAAAGGGGATACACAGTGCAAATTAACGATCGCCTGCATCTATGTGGGAAAGAGGTTAAAAATACTAACTACAAACGCCAAATTAATTAATTTTTTTTTATATTTTTTTTTTTACAAGAATATTTATTTTATCTATTTTTTTATTTTTCAAATATTTAGCGAAACTTTAAGAGGAGGTGTTCATTACCTAGATGCTGGCCGGTGCCACCCAGTGAAATTTCGCTTCCAACCTCTTAATTTACAGACACACATCGTTTATCCAATGCTAATTTATAAGACATTCGCAAAGATTGCAGCATTTGCACCTACCTAAATGCCCCACTGCATTGAGTTATACAAGAAGGCCTAAGTATTTCTAAGACCTACCTATGTTAGGGAATGAGAAGACCGCCAGAAACAGGAGACCGCCAATATTGTTGAGCAGCGTCAGCAAGCCGTTGGCGGCCCCCTCGCTGGTGGGGTAGGCCAGTTCACAGCCCAGCTCGTAAATCATGGGGATGGCTCCGTTGATCAGAACATTCCCTCCAATGACGGAGCTGTATAAAACAGCTGTTTCAAATGTAAAGAGTTCGATTTCATTCAACGCTCTTTTGAAATGAATAATGTGTAATTGACAGTCAAAATGTATAAAAAGCCTTATAAAGCCGTTTGCACGAAATACTAAACTAGCCACCATTTTAAATGCAAGCAATACTTTTCACTGCGATATTGTTTAAATTTTGCTGTTGTGTGTGCCTCGGCCGCCGCAACTCGACAGAGTTCATTGTGCATTTTGAAAATATAAACATTTGAGCTGTGCACTTATTTTTAATTTACATCTTCAAGCCTTGCTGGCTGTGACTTTATCGTTATGCTGATTTTCACTTTGGCTGTGTTCCTCGCACTGCTGATTTTCACTTGGGCTGTGTTCCTATTACTGCTGATTTTCACTTGGACTGTGTTCCTCGCACTGCTGATTTTCACTTTGGCTGTGTTCCTCCTACTGCTGATTTTCACTTGGGCTGTGTTCCTATTACTGCTGATTTTCACTTGGACTGTGTTCCTCCTACTGCTGACGTTCTCTTGGGCTGTGTTCCTCCTACTGCTGATTTTCACTTGGGCTGTGTTCCTCCTACTCCTGACTTTCTCTTTGGCTGTGTTCCTCCTACTGCTGACTTTCTCTTGGGCTGTGTTCCTCCTACTGCTGATTTTCACTTGGGCTGTGTTCCTCCTACTCCTGACTTTCTCTTGGGCTGTGTTCCTCCTACTCCTGACTTTCTCTTGGGCTGTGTTCCTCCTACTGCTGACTTTCTCTTGGGCTGTGTTCCTACTACTGCTGATTTTCTCTTGGGCTGTGTTCCTCCTACTGCTGACTTTCTCTTGGGCTATGTTACTCCTACTGCTGAGTTTCTCTTGGGCTGTGTTCCTCCAACTGCTTACTTTCACTTGTGTTCCTCGCACTGCTGACTTTTTCTTGGGCTGTGTTCCTCCTACTGCTGACTTTCACTTGGGCTGGGTTCCTCGTGAAGGTGCAGATTTGTTCGCTGCAAGATCCTCATCGTGTTGTATGTAGTAATTGAGAACCCTCTCGGCTTAACAATAGATACATATATATTAAGAAGCTTTGAGCATTGACCAACACACAAATTCATCAGATGTAAGCGAAATGTCTCTAAGTTGTCTCGGAATTAATAAAATCCTAACATTAATCCTTTTTTTTTGTGGTTGGGGGGTGGTGGGGTTAAAAGTGCAACCAACCTTGTCTACTTGTGGAGTCAAGGCATTACGGGTCGCACCTAGATATTTATGTTGTAGAAATGTATGTCCAATCTGTTTGGTGGTGGGAGAGAATTGTAAAGTCACAGTCGTGCTACAAGCCCACGTTTTACGATTTCTTATTGTCCAAACTTAATGTCACGTAAGCCAAGCTTACCATCAGAGAACGGGATGACGTCAATAAGCATCAGCGCGAACACCGTGTAGCACCCGCAGCCGATGATGAAGAAGAAGAGGATGCAGGCTTTCATTCTGCTGGCGAACAGATCCCCGAACCTGGACATGTTGCGATTGGGAGGGGCGGGTTGAGGTAGGTGGGAGGAGATGGGTAGGTTGAGATGGGTGGGTTGAGATGGGTGGGAGGAGATGGGTGGGTTTAGATGGGAGGATTAAGATTGCCATTTTTAAAAAAGAAAACAGTGTAAAGGTTTATGAGACAACAAAAAGTGGTTTAAATCTTCTTAACATAACAGAATTAAAATTTCTATTATATTGACTTATGTTAGAACGGCAGGTTAAACCAGACTGACATGTTGGCGACCGAGCGAATCCATTACATCTAATGTGCCGTTGTTATAGGGAATGAATACACGGTTAAACTCGGGAACCAACATGATGTTGTAAAAAAGAAAATTAAAAGCAAAAGTTTTCAGTTCTTGGCTTTTTGATTGTTGAGCATTAAACTTAAAGCTAGATGTGAGTTTTACAGCATGTTACAGTCCGCCACTGCGTGACTCGGAGAGGTCACAGTCAGTACCTACAAGACTTGGGAGATGTTACAGTCAATCTCTGCATGACTTGGAGAGGTCACAGTCAATTTATGCATGACTTCGAGTGGTCACAGTCATATCTCTGCAAGACTTGGAGAGGTCACAGTAAATCACTGCAGAACTTGGTGAGGTCACGGTCAGTGATTGCATGACTTGGGGAGGTCACGGTCAGTCCTTTAATGCCTTGGAGATGTCACAGTAAATCTCTTCATGACTTGGAGATTCACAGTCATCTTTTCATGACTTGGAGAGGTCAAAGTCAGTCCATACACGACAAGTAAGTCTGCGCACGACTTTGAGGCCATGCTGAAGCTTGTGGAACATGCTTGAACTCTTTGGTTCTCGGAGACAAGTGGTAATAACTCATCTCCGATTGCTTGAATTCATAAATTTAATGTAAGCATTGTGACATCTCACCTTCCAACAAACAGAGCACACGCACAGGAAGCCACTGTCGCGTAGAAGCCAAGCCACCCTGACTTGTTCTGTCAAATAAATCAAAGTTCTTTAACTTTAGTTAAAATTAAAATGTGTAAATCATTAAAATCATGGTATAATATTAAACTTCCCACATGTTTGTAGTTGTAGACTCTACACCCGTGATTAACCAAGGATCGCCTTGCTCAGAGACGGATCTATTCCATTGAATACCATTGTCGGGCAAACAGTTTGAGGAGCTCCGAAATGTTGTTTTAAAAGCTCAAGAAGCTTGTAAATGATGATGTTGTAATTGATATGAGGATTCGGTGTCGTAAGCTAGATATTTATTTAAAATAGTAGGCAGCAGTATAACGTTACGTATGCCCGCCCAATAACTTAAGGGTACATTTTTCTTGTATTCTGTTGACCATGAGCGTTTCTCAACTTGGGTCTTAAGGTCCCCTGGGTGGATTTATGGGCACATCTATTTATTCTGAACGCCGGTGAATGTGTCTCATGCATTTTCGACCATATTGTGGACTGTTGTGCATTTTTGACTGACGTGCATTTTTGACTGACGTGCATACGACGCTAGCAAATAAAGAAACCTAAAACTTTTCAACACACTTTGTCATTTGAATCATACAACACATTTATTTTAATCTTACAACACATGAGCTCTGCGAGGGCTAAGGGAAATGTAATTTGTTTACTTTGACATTGTTTCCTGTGGCCGTTACGAAGAGAACCCTACCTCTAAACAATGTTTTATGGGTCAAAAGAGACCTACCAGTACCAGCGATAACTATTCGCTGCCGCCACGAGTAAAAAGAAAATGTTGAGAAAAGGTTGAGAAATACGGCCTTCAGAAAGCTGAGGTTTAGGTAAGGATACATTTTAAATCCCATCTCCTCACCTCGCTGACGCCGTAGGGATTTAAGTTGACATTGAGTACAGTGGCCCAACAGTTGGTCACGCCAGTCGATATGCCGTACACGGTGGCCAGAAGGATGAAGTGGCTCTTACTGAAAATGGAATAAAAGTTCGAAGTGGTTGCTGTTTGGCTCTGAGTTCGTCAGTATTAGAGCTTGGAAGGCAATGCAACAAACGAATGAAATATTAGCGTTAATCCAAGCTACAAAGTGTTGATTAATTTATAACATTATATAGGTCGAGCATTGAAATAATCATCCATAATTTTGTAAAAACTTTGTTTTTTATTATAATGTTAGGGCTTAGATCTCAATAAGGACACGTATGTTAGGAAGACTTGCTGCAAATAGCTACAAAAACGGCAAAAAGACAAGGGAAATTACCGAGACTTACTGTCTCAAAGACCACAGACCAGCCCAGTAGTCTTCCCTGGTTGTTGATGCTGATGTAGACGGTGGTCGGTGTGGTTTTGACGGGAAGTAGATGGCAGTGAGTAGAAATATCAGACAGGCCCAGCCACATTCTGGGGATTTTATTTCGTTTAAAGCTCCTTTATTTAAACACATGTCAAATATTGTCTAGATAAAAAAGTATACCCCGAATCTAGGGTGTGTGGTAAATTTCTAATCTCCAAAGTCGGGGAAATCTGATCGAAATTTTAGCTTAAATATTTTTTTTTTTCTAAAACACAAAAAATGTTAATGTAGAAAATGAATTGTTTCAATGACTTTAAAAAATACTGATCCTTTATATTAGCTTCGCTTTCTTGGTGTGTTTCTTTCTGTGACAAAATCTTCGGATGGCTATTTGAACCACTTCCCTTCAATATATGGAGCTGAGACGTGGCACGTAGATTCGTTTCCGTTGACGACACATTCTGTCAAATTTCCAGCCCCAACTCTAACCCCACAAAAACAGTTTTTCCTGTTTGTCAACGGGAACATGGAGGAAATATGACGCCGCCAATTTCACGAGATAAGTCTCCCGATAAAGCGCTGATTTTTTAATTAGAAATCGCAAGGTCGTTTTGTGCGTAATATTTTCTTGTGTTTTTCTCAAATAATTGGTGAAATAAATCTGCTGTGTAAAAGGGGGTGGGACATTAGAATATCAATTTTTAAAATAAAATAGACTATCAAGGATTTATTCGAAAAACATTTCTTTGACGGGTTGTTAAATTTGTAACTGAATTCTTCTGTTCAAATGACCACCCAAGTCAATCACACTTGTATTGCTTTGTATATAATATAGTTTTAGTAATTGAAAAGATATTTAAGGGGGAGATGTAACAATCATATAGTAAGACAGACACACACACAAGCGATGCATTAACATAATTCAGATCTAAATTATTTAGAAGCCACATACCGTAATACATGTAGTTCATTATTTGCTCTTTTGCTTGCTTCATTCTGATAGCATCTGGAGAAATGAGAGATTTGGCAATAACGGGAATAGGAGTAACTTGTATTATTTCAAGTTACGCACGTGGAAGACGAGAGAAATGTTTTAACATATTTTTATCATTAAGAAACAGTATTTCACTGAGACTGATTGTGGTATGCTTTTCTGTTACAGAGTACATGGAAAAAGTATTGTAGATTTTAAGTTTCTGTCCTGGTAACGTTATAACAAAAAAACTTGGGTTCGCTTCTAGCAGGATAACTGATTTGGCCTCGAAGAGTTCGCTTCTTAAAAATATAACTTGACTATGTTTCGCTTCAAGCAGGATAGCTTACCTGGCCTCGAAAATTTCGCTTCTTGTAGGATAACCTACCTGGCCTCAAAGAACGCTTTCAGGAGATTTTATCGTTTGAAACAATAACTTCCATGGTATAAATAATTTTTGTTGTGGGGCAGTAGGTTTTAAATGGGGATCGACACGTGACCAAATTGTCCATTTGACAAGCTGGGTAACATGACTGAAAAACCAGCAAGGCTCCATCCATGGTCTCCGTATCTGCCCTCAATAACGTTCCTTTTACCATAGTCTGCTTTTATAGGGCAGCTTGACTACGTGCCCCCTTCGTTGTCTGGGCAGAGGTTTGAAAACGTATTTTTGTTTCATTTTCAAAAGATAAGAACCCTTGAAGGTAATGTCTTTAAAATGATGTTTTAGCGAAGCATCAAAACCTTTTGTTATATTGTGGCAAATAAAGTAAGTACATAGGCCTACGTATTATGCTCACAACAATTCATATGCGCAAATGTTCATTGTGTTGGGGATTTTTAAAAAAAATTATTACAGAGTTATATTCTTAGTAAAACAAAATTCTATTTGACTGAACTACTTAAATCTATTAAATTTCATAAAGACTAAAAATTTAAACATTAAGTACAAACCAATGCTATCATTTGTCATGGAAACATTTGAAATAACGCTGGATGCTGGGGTTCTGAGGATAAAAGAGAGAGACGCATCATTTACGTTTAGTAGGCTCCACGTCATATCTATATTATTTTTTTTTTAAATTGACAACGAATCTATAATTTATATCTTTTAAAATCTTTAACATTAACTTTGCTTTTGTTCGTGGGTGAGTGGCTGAGTGGCGGACAGGCAAAACTCTTTGGACGGCTAATTGACCCACTTCCCGTTAACTTATCGATGACAGCACGTTCTGTCACATTTTTAGCCACAACCCCCCAAAAATCAGGTTTTTCCTGTCTTTCAAGGGAAATATAAATTGAAATACCAATAACTGTGCTAAATATGATTCGTTTTAAAGCAATATCGCAAGTGCGTTTGGTGCGTAATATTTTCTTTTGTTTTTCTGAAATAGTTGGTGAAATAAATCTGGTGTGTAAAATTCGGGTGTGAATTAAAATATTAATATAGGTCAAGGGCATGAAAAAAATGTGCTGTTGCGATCCTGGTTGGGGGGGGGGGGCCGCGCCACTATTTGATATTTTTAAAAAGTGCATTAGTTGTTTGCAAGTTTTGTCAAATTTTCAGCCCTACCCCCTCCCTCCCTCCCCCCATTGCTCCATATCACCTTTTAGAAAGGATTTATACGAAAAACTTAGTATTTAGGGGTTGTTTAATAATCCATCTATGTTACTGTTAGGATCAAAGCTTGTAGTGTGTATCTGATGAAGGTAAGCTAAGTGGATTTAATGTCAGTGCCTCGTCGCTCATAATACATTTCTACTTTTAAAGCCACGAATGCCAAAAATATTTCCCTACGAGAAGAAATACCACAATTGTGATGAAACTTTGTTCTATTCGTTCAACGTATGGATGCTATAGATATTTACTATCTTAATGGCCACTTTCATTTTAAATTTAATTTTTTTTTTTTTTTTTAAATAAATGTATTCTTATAATTGGTCATTTTAAAATATTTCCCTAAGAGAAGAAATAACAAAATTGTGATGAAACTTTGTTCTATTCGTTCAACGTATGGATGCTATAGATATTTACTATCTTAATGGCCACTTTCATTTTAAATTTAATTTTTTTTTTTTTTTTAAATAAAAGTATTCTTATAATCGGTCATTTCAATTCGAAAGCTCTGCTCAAAATTAAAGTTAAAGTTCATTTGTAAAATTTAAAAAAATTCCCTTTTTATTGTAAAAATTTTTGTCAAAAACCAATGTGAATTTAAATAGTGAGTAATGCTAAAAGTAAACTTACAAAACGTCAATACAACCATTTATTATTAGAATGAGAATTTCGCAAATGCTAAGTACGGTTGCGCGACAGTGTCTTGTAATAACATCTAAAAAAAGCATAGTTTAATAGCTGAGTATTCAGACTTTTGCGGGCGGGTGGACTTACAGGTGAGAGGAGTAGACTGCATCGTATGATGAGGAGGACACGTTGATTGTTGGGGTCAGCGTGGTGGCATTGGGGTCAAGACGAGGTTCCAGAGATACCAGTGTCGGGCCTGGGTTGGAATAAAAACCGTTACTCTCTTTAAGATGGGGGGGGGGGGATATAGCAATAGACGCATGCACCATATGACGTATGCACAAAGCACATAGCTTATTTTTAGTGGGAGAAAAAAAAACAAATAACTCGTATTGGTTGGTTCTATTATCTATATATTGTACATGTGAGAAAACATATAAGATGAAAACTTATAAGATAGTTGAATTGCTTATAAAAAATAGTATTTCAATCTCATTGTTTAAAATATGTGTGTCTGGGGATAGATTAGACTAATACGTATGCCATCTATGTTTAGTCTGGGTGGTTGGAGTAGCGTGTGGAGGTTTGGGTTGCGACAACAAAAGCCATAGCACCAACCTTCACTCCCCTACAACAAGAGCTGTAGCATCAACCTTCACTCCCCTACAACAAGAGCTATAGCACCAACCTTCACTAACCTACAACCAAATCTATAGCACCAGCCTTCACTCCCCTAAAACAAGAGCTAAAGCACCAACCTTCACTAACTTACAACCAAAGCTATAACACCAACTTTCACTCACCTACAACAAAAGCTATAGCACCAACCTTCACTCACCTACAACAAAAGCTATAGCACCAACTTTCACTCACCTACAACAAAAGCTATAGCACCAGCTTTCACTCACCTACAACAAAAGCTATAGCACCAACTTTCACTCACCTACAACAAAAGCTATAGCACCAGCTTTCACTCACCTACAACAAAAGCTATAGCACCAGCTTTCACTCACCTACAACAAAAGCTATCGCAGCACCAAAATAGCACGTGCTGACCCCAATGGCCGTGGCCGTGACCCTTTCATGAGGCGGAAACCAGGACGATGACACGCTTGAGATGCCGCTCATGGCCATTGGCCCGGCCAAGCCGTTAAAGAACTGGCCTATGTGAATAAGTCTGAAGATGAAGAGCAAATTATAATGCTGCTGAGGCTCTAATTCGTCCCCGCAGCCATACAGGCTGGTACATGAGTAAATTACATTATTTAGCAATGTGTCCTAATGGTAAGATATAGCTCTTCTTTTTCATTGCCTTGCGTATAGCTTTCGTTTTTCTATGAAAAAATAATTTTAAAATCTATTATTTCATATCATTTTTATTGTGTTTTAAATAATAATGATCTTACTCAACGCTCTCTCTTTCTCTCTCTCTCTCTCTCTCTCTCCACACACACACTTTCTGTAACTCTGTCTCTATCTCTCTCTCTCTCTCTCCATCTCTCTCTGTCACTCTCTGTCACTCACTTTCTCTCTCTCCCTCACACACTCCCTGTCTCACTCTCTCTCTCTCTCTGTCACTCTCTTTCACTTACTATCCCTCTCTATCTCACTCTTTCTCTCGCTCTCTCTCTCTCTATCTTTTTATATCTAAAATTAATCAATTTAAAAAAAACATAAGTTTCTTTAACAAGGATGGGTGACAAACATGTACAAACCCAACAAACACGTATTAAATCCTACGGAGAAACTCACATGGTAGCCGCCTCTGTCTCTGACGTAATAACTCTACAGCATGTCCCCAGAGCAATTAGGAACGCGCTTGGGACCACTGCCCACCTAACGCCTTCATTGGAGAGGGAACATTTGATTCATGAAAATACAATCTAACTAAAGTATAACTAAAAAAAAATTAAGAAGTGCATAACAAATTTTAAAAAAATAATAATAATAATTAGGTCATTTCAATTGCTCATGTAGACTATCTATTTTAAATACTAGAGTTTGATCATTTTTTTTATTTCTTTCAAATATGGAGTGGCCCTGGGATCTCTTAACATTTTAAACGCTTTTGATATATATCATCAAAGTTTAGACCAGGAGTCCTCAAACTTTTTTTAAACAAGGTGCTGGATCATTGTCCTCAGACACCCTCGAGGGCCGGACTAAGTGTGAAAAAAAAAAATGAACGAATTCTATGCACATAGCAAATATCTTATTTTAGTGGAAAAAAATAACAATTAAAAAAAAAACAATATCATATTTAAAATAAAGGAAATATATTTCCAACACAAACTTAATAGTATTTCAAAGAGAAGCTGGGCCAATGAGAAGATCAATCTCTGCCTCCATATTTTTTGCTGTTCACCAGGTAACCCTACAGTGACCAGACGGGCCGGATTAAGGACCACTGTCGAGACGGAACTGTACCCGCGGGCATTAGTTTGAGGACACCTGGTTTCGGCGTACCTTTGACTTGCAGTATCCACGGGAACAGAAACCCAACCAGCACGAATGAGACCGGACCCCAGTTGGTCAGCCAGGCGACGTTGGCGTCGCTCCAGCCGAACGCCTCCTCACTCGTGGTGGCGATGGGGCCCCAGGTGTTCCAGATCAGGGCCTGCGTGAAGGCGAACAAGCTGTACACGGCGAGGATGTACCACCGCCTCTTGTACACCTGAGGAAGGACGGCATGGTAACATTGCTTAATCTGCACAATAGAGTCGAGTCAATCGACCGTTACCACACTCGTATACAGTTATAAAAGTTGTGCAGGAAGTTTACTTGCAATAATTAATTAAAAGTGGTATGAAGAAGACCTGACAAGTTGTCCGTTTATTTAAACTAACGTAATTATATATTTCCTTTAAAAAATTGTATTTATTTATTAGGAATTTCGCTATCTTCAGCCTTAAAATTAAGAGCAGAAGTTACTGAGAGCCAAACAATATTCATCTTGGCGCTCTTTCTTCAAGAGGCTTAACTCTGAGTAAACAGCAAATTAAAACTATAGAAATGCAAACACTTACATGGATTTCGATGGTGTCCTCTTGCGACTTAACAGTCTTATCGTCATCTGGAGGTAGAAGAATGAAAAGTACCAAATTAAAAGTTTATTGTTAATTACCACTTAAAAAATCAGTACAGTCAAGACTGAGGTCATGTATTAAATCAGTGCAGTATAGACTGAGGTCATGTCAAAACAAAACAAACAAAAAAACCGTACTCCAGAGAATCTGGACATAAACCAATGTTCAGCGGTTCCGACAACGCCGGAAATTTAAATATATGGAGGGGGGGGGGGGGGGGGAGGGTTGTCATCGAGGACGAAAAAGGAATGAGAGACATAACAGTAGAGTACAGACAGATAGCAACTGAAGTCGGATACCAGCCCGTCCCGTTGTTAATTCACCCAAGATAAAGATGGAGACCAAAACCTGAATAATCAACGCAGTCTTCTATCCAGCCCTTATATTAACCGGTGTCAAACCTTGGCCTTTTTTTCAAAATTAACCAAAACTTTACTTCCCTTACATGCCACCCTGTAACCACCACCCCCACCCCCCACCCCCACATAACGACCCCCACCTCCCAACATTCTAAATTTAGCTTTACTCATTTAAGAACACCAACACCACTAAACAACCATTTTTATCCATATTTCTTAAACGATTTCTAACATCATCACATTTATCGGTACTTCATTTCAAAACCTTTTTTTTTTTAGTAAAAGTGTTAATTACGAGATGTTGTTGCCAAAATGGAGAAGTGTTAATTACGAGATGTTGATGCCAAAATGGAGAAGTGTTAATTACGAGATGTTGATGCCAAAATGGAGGAGCTTCTAAGTGACTTCGATGATCTTTTCGTGTGATTATATCTGTGGAAGAATTGAGCCGGATCTTGCTTGATCGACATCAAATTTCAAATCTTTTTAATAATTCAATAGTCTAGCAACATCAAAAAAATACCACAGAAAAATGAAACAATAAAATATTACATGATTGTATGTGTATTGTTTGAAGAAGTGCAATGACCAAAAAAATCCACACAAAAAAAATCAAAAAAAAAGAGAAAAAAAAAAACTAGATCTAACGGCATTTTACTTTTCTAAATTCTTTATATAGTATATCTGCCGGATTCTCTGGGGGATGTTTTTATCGATTGATTTATTCATATTTAAGTTAATTTTCAGGAAAACTAAGAAAATGTCATTGAAGACAATTTTATTTCTCATGGACCCCCAACAATCACCGAATGATGAACTTGGTACAGTTGTAGTACAATGCATAACTGAGGTATACTTGTAGTACAATACATACCCGAGGTACAGGTGGGTTACAATACATTCCTGGGGTACAGGTGTAGCACAATACATACCAGACTTTTGTGGAGACTTGTGGGGCAGCTCGTACGTGTCCGTTTTGTGGGGCGGCAGATCACCAAACTCGGCGCCCTTGTTGACGTAATAAACTTTGACAGGGCGGTCACCCCCAGAGAAAGAGTTGATCATGTCCCTCATTGTCCCTGCGAGGTTGTCAGTCGGTGCTTACAAAGTGTGGGCTGGTCGGTGCTTACAAAGTGTGAGCTGACGAGTCGAGCTACCAAAAAAACAACAACAACAACAAAACGACTGATAGTGTTTGTAGAGATAGAAACCTGCCGCCTGTTGCAGGCTGGCTATTACACTAAATATCTGATACTCGAAGTGTAAAGATTTTTTTTATTTTTATTTTTTTAATAGCAATAACCCAAAATTAGGGGAATTTATAATTATAAATCTAAATTATAATAATTACAAATATATCAGTTTTTAAAAAAAAAAAAAACGTAATTATATGTCAATAAAACTTGAAAAGGCGAGTGCTTCTCAAACTTTTCAGGGTGATTGACCACCTCCCAAACCCCAGCAAGAATAATCTCCGCTGCGGCAAAGACACCTGCTGTTGCTCATGTGTTGTTATTAGTTGATATGTTTCTTTCTATATTTTCGTCTGGTCCCAGGGTAATTAATAGTAATACCCCTGGAATAAACAGAACATCCGGTGTAATAAACAGAACATCCGGTGTAATAAATAGAACACCCTGTGAAATAAATAGAAAGCCCCGTTGAATAAACAGAACATCCGGTGTGATAAATAGAGCATTCTGTGTAATAAATAGAACACTCCATGTAATAAATAGAACACCTCGTGTAATAAATATAACACCTCGTGTAATAAATAGAACACCCCGTGTAATAAATAGAACATCCCGCGTAATAAATAGAACACCTCATGCAATAAATATAATACCTCGTGTAATAATTAGAACACCCCATGTAATAAATAGAACACCCCATGTAATAAATAGAACACCCCATGTAATAAATAGAACACCCCATGTAATAAATAGAACACCATGTGTAATAAGTAGAACACCCTGTGTAATAAATAGAACACCCCATGTAATAAATATAACAACCTGTGTAATAAATAGAACACCCCGTGTAATAAATAGAACACCCTGTGTAATAAATAGAACACCCTGTGTAATAAATAGAACACCCTGTGTAATAAATAGAACACCCTGTGTAATAAATAGAACACCCTGTGTAATAAATAGAACACCCCGTGTAATAAATAGAACACCCCGTGTAATAAATAGAACACCCCGTGTAATAAATAGAACACCCCGTGTAATAAATAGAACACCCTGTGTAATAAATAGAACACCCTGTGTAATAAATAGAACACCCTGTGTAATAAATAGAACACCCGTGTAATAAATAGAACGCCCCGTTGAATAAACAGAACATACGGTGTAATAAATAGATCATTCTGCGTAATAAATAGAACACCCCATGTAATAAATAGAAAACCCCATGTAATAAATAGAACACCCTATGTAATAAATAGAACATCCCATGTAATGTATTAGAAAACTTCTTGTATAATTAATAAGATATGCGCATGAAAGAAAACCTTAGGTCTGTATAATTTATAGCATAAATAGCATATGTAGCCTAATGATAGAACTTATGATAGAGCACCTCTTGTTTAACAGAACAGAAAATGTGATTGATGAGAGACTTATGTAAATTATAGGGCAACTTATGTAATTGATAGGGCGACGAATGTAATTGATAGGGGAACTTATGTAATTGATAGGGCAGATTATGTAATTGATAGGCCAACTTATGTTATTGATAGGGCAACTTATGTAATTGATGAGGCAACTTATTTGATTGAGATGGCAACTTATGTAATTGATGAGGCAACTTATTTAATTGACAGGGCAACTTATGCAATTGATAGGGCAGCTTATGTAATTGAGAGGGCAACTTGTGTAATTAATATGGCAACTGATTTAATTTATAGTGCAACGTATGTAATTGATAGGGCAACTTATGCAATTGATAGGGCAACTTATGTAGTTGATAAACAACTTATTTAATTTTTAGGGCAACCTATGTAATTGATAGGGAAATTTATGTAATTGATAGGGCAACTTATGCAATTGATAGGGCAACTTATGCAATTGATAGGGCAACCTATGCAATTGATAGGGAAACTTATGTAATTGATAGGGCAACAAATGTAATTAATATAAACAAAATCACTCGCCATTAATAAAACACTGTATGCAATTAATCAAAATAGTGAAACAAAATATGTAGTTGTATTTTTTTTTACAGGGTTGGAACCCATCTCCTCATATATTGTTCTTTATTAATTAACAAAACTCGTGTCAACACAAGAACACATCATGTAAACGGCTGCACTGCCTGCACTGTCATATTATTGTATTGCCCATTAACAGAAGGATAAGATAAGAGGCCTTATAACATAACGCTATCCGCTATACGGTAAATGTACTCCTAGTGATCGGATTAATGCACTACTTTCAAACACAGATAACTCAGAAATTCGATGATTGTCAAGCTAACAGTACCTTAAGTAGACTTTTTTTTAAATTAAAAAGAAGCCTTTTTTTCATAAAATCAATAAAGCGGCCACTAGCCCCACCCCCCCTTTCCCCGTTTCATTTTGTTACCAGGGCCTTTAAATGTGACCAGGGACATTTGACTAATTATTCAGTTTTTTTTTTTTTTTTTTGCCCCAGAAGGTCAAGGCAGCACATCTGTGGCCGACGAAGTAAAACAATTTTTTTTAATTATTACTATTCTACTACCCCCCCCCTCCTTTTTTTCCTATTTTGTTTCGTCCCGCAAAAGTTTTCATAAAGCACTAGGGCCCGCCTTACGTTTTGAGTTGTGCAGGTCTGTACTTGACAGTTCCTTACTTTTTAATTTATAAAAATTGATTCCAAACATTTTCACGATTTTTTTGTTTTCATTATCATAAAATATCGCGTTAAATTCAATGTGACGTCATGCTGTTAAACAGAAAGTTTTGAGCACCAGAATGTTTCATTGTTCAAAGATCTTTTTATTTCCTAGTTCAAAGATCTTTTTATTTTCTATTTTTACGGCGCTGAAGAAGCTCTATTTTTTTGCCTCCTATACAAAAAAAAGAAAAAAAAGAAGGAAAATCAAACAAATAGGAAGAAAGGTTTCGTCTTACCTGACAAAAGACAGCTTGCACTATTGGTTGTTGCTGCCTAGTGTCATCCTGTGAAGAGATCCCATAACGTTGATGAAAGGTCAGAGCACGGCCGAGGTTGTAGAACGCTAAACACACAGCGGACAGAGTCGCGTGATCGGTCCACTATTTCTTGAGATCCGTTTTTTGAAAGTTCAACATTTTGCCACGCGCCTTGACGGGAAGTGACGCTGCAACGGGAGCGTTTGCGAGGGCATAGAGACAGGGGGAGGGGAGGAGGAGGAAAGGGGGGAGGGACAGAGAGAGGGGGGAAGATAGAGGTGAGAGAGAGAGGAGAGGGAGAGAGGAGGGATGGAGTGAGAGGATAGAGAAGGGGAGAGAGAGAAAGGAGAGAGAGGGGAGGGAGAGAAAAAGGAGAGAGACAGGAGTGAGAGGAGGGCTAGGGAGGGAGAGAGGAGAGAGAAAGAAGGAGGGATGGAGAATAGAGTGAGAGAGACAGAGAGAGAGGAGGGAGGGATGGGGAAAGAGTGGACAGAGAGAGATCAGGGGGGGATGAAGAAATGAGACAGCAAGGGAGAGAGACAGGGAGAGAGACAGGGAGAGAGACAGGGAGAGAGAGAGAGAGTAAACGAGAAAAAATGAAAGAGCCAAAAAGAGGGAGTGAGAAAGAAAGACCTAGAAAAATACTATAGAGGGTGAGAGAAACAGGCAGAGGGAGAGAGACGGGCAGAAAGAGAGAGAGAGGAGGGGGAGACAGGCAGAAAGAGAGAGAGAGTTGGAGAGAGAGAGAGAGAGAGAGAGAGAGAGAGAAGAGAGAGAGGCAGGCAGAAAGAGAAAGAGTTAGAGAGAGAGAAAGAGAGAGACAGGCAGATGGAGAGAGAGAGAGAGAGAGAGAGAGAGAGCGAGAGATAATAAATACCGATCAACACTCTGTAACGAACGATAACATAATTAACACGAGGACGTCGTGTGAGATAAAAGTGTACCACGGTATCATTATCTCATGTTGTTTTTATAGCGCAGTAGGGGACAACATAAATAGCACGTCCGCGCGCACCGCACAGCACCGGTTGGTGCACAAGACTGGTTATGTCATTAAAAGGGCAGTGGTTAACCCGGACAAAGTGATGTCACATGTAACAACAACAACCCCCCCCCCCCAAACCCCCAACAAAAAAAAAACCTAAAAACAGGGTTTTTCCTATAAACCTTTTATAAAATGTACGATCTTCCGATCTGGGGAGGGGGGGGGTAAAAATTGTACAAAAAATTTATAAGAGTCCCATTAAGTGCTTATTAATAATAATAATAATAATAATAATAAGAGGTCTTGTATAGCGAGGTACCCCAGCCTAGGGCTGGGCTCACCGCGCTGTACATAAAAATTTTATCAAAAGAGACATAATCATGACATTAAAATAAAATACATTTATGAAATAAAGAACAGTATATTCACCCACCCCGCCACATAACTTTTACAAGTCAAACCATGGACGGCAGCTAGCAAGATCATTTATCGGTCAGAGGAGGGGAATAAGTCAGGGTAGTATAATTTAAAAAGATATGTTTTAGTGCAGTTTTGAAGGCCTGGGTGGTTGGTATATTGCGTATGTGTAGTGGCAAAGAATTCCATTGTTTTGGGGCGCAGAAAGACAAAGATCGTTCACAATATGTTTTAGTGTGTGTCTTGGGATCGGACAGAATACGCGTGTCTGCAGAGGAGCGAAGCTGTCGAAGGGGTGAATAGACAGAAAGAAGTTCGGTTAGATAGGAAGGGCAGGAATCCAAGAAAAAGTTGTGACAGAGAACAGACAACTTGTAGTCAATGCGTGCCTGTATAGGTAGCCAATGAAGGGAATGGAGTAGTGGAGTGACGTGATCACGTTTTTTTGCCTTTAAAACTAGCCTAGCAGCTGAGTTTTGAACTTTCTGCAGTTTTTCTATGCAGTGTTTTGGTGAACCTGACAGAAGAGAGTTGCAATAGTCAAGACGAGAGAGAACAAGAGCACAGACTAGAGTTTTTGTAGCGCTAACTGTGAGGTAGTGGCGTATGGAGCTGATCTGACGGATAGTGGTGTATGCTGAACGACAAATGTGAGATATGTGTTTATCGAGAGACATGTTGTTAGAAAGAATATAACCAAGATTCCTAGCAGAGGGTGTTCCCCCTCAAGGCTCGCAACCAAACACTTTTTTTCACGCCCCTAAACTATATTAATATTTGAATGACCCACCCGCTTTTACAGCACAGACCGATTTGACCGACTATTTCAGAATAAAAAATATGACACACCAAACGCAATTAGGATTTTTTTTTTTTTTTTTACATTATTCTCTTGTTGCAAAGTTATCGGGAATTTCATTTTGTGAAACGAGCATCTCATTTCCTTCATCTTTCCTGAAAAAGCAGGAAAGCTGGGTGGTTTAGTTATTTTTTGGGGATGGTGTTGGGTGGTACGGCTGAAACATTGAAAGGATGTATTGTCATCGGCAACGAGCCCATGCGCCAGGTTTCAGCTCGATAGGTTGACGGGAAGTGGGTCAATTAGCCGTCCGAATATTTTCCCAGCCAAGAAAAAAAGCGGAGTTAACGTAATGCATTTTTTAATCAAGAAAAGAAAGAAGGCAAAACTAAATCAGCTAGATTTTTTTTTTAAAATTATCTAAACATACCTTTTTATTTAGTGAGATGAAATGTCTGACGTTCTAAAAATAGTAACGCTATGACATTGTCCGGTCTGGGAAATGACAAACCCTATCGAAAAATGTTCTGGCGCCTGGAGAGACTTTTCGTGGAAGGTGGTGGTGGGGGAGGAGGGGGGAAGGCCGAACCCTGCCTACTCCCCTGTTAGGGACAACATTTTCTTCGGCCCCCTTTCAAAGGCGCGAGCGTCCAAAACAATCGATGAGCCCCTCCGTTATCTATAGAATGTTCGCAAACTTTGTCATTACCACCAGCTCCTCTGGTATTCGGACCTGAGTGATCTCCATGACGCCAGAGCATTTGCATTCACGATCTCATTGGGGTAACCCACGAGTGTTAATGAAGACTAATGCATAGTCTGGTAAGGGGAAAAAAAGGAGGGGGGAGGAGGGGTGCGAGGTCTCTCTCTTCATGGTCCCAGCTAACACATTTGCAATAATCTCCTTCTGTTCGGCTTTGTCACACAGCGTTTTAGTTGTATTAGGACTCAGCTGCCGCCCTGGCAACCCAAAGTTTAAGTTTGGAGCACGAAAGCTGTGCAACGCCGACATTTCAGTTCCCTGTTTAAGGTCTGGTCTGTTAAAGTTGGACTTAGAGGGCTAGTATTCCGTCCGCAACTGAGTTACCAATGTATGTTTGCCGGCGTTTTCGGTTTCCATCGATGGCCATATCTTACGATACCATCAATGAGTTGTTAGTAGATGAAAGTGTGGAGAACATCTTGGCAATACTTCTTACGGAAAGCTATTTGCGTGTGCGTGGCAACTTCCTCGCAATGAAAACGATTGTATGCAAGATTGTGGTCTTCTCTAGCAATGTGTGTAAAAAAAAAAGCCTAAATTCTGGTTTCTCTAGCAATGTGCGCAGAGAAAGCCCCCATTGCGGTCTTCTCTAGCAATGTGTGCAGAGAAAGCCAAAATTGCGGTCTTCTCTAGCAGTGCGTGGAAGGAAAGCCCCCCCCCCCCAAAAAAAAAAAAATTGTCTGCCCCAGCAACCAGTGCAAAGAAAAGGAAGACATACGAGCTCCTCCGTGTTATTGACGAAATTCTGATGCTTTCAGTTGTCTTGAACATGAGATGATACTCTTGGTTTATGGGGATTACGCTATGTTTCCCTTGACCAATGTTTTGTAAACATGCCGTGGTTATAGATTTGAAATGGGAAAGAATGAGATGGCAACATTTTTCTGTGAATAACAATATCTAAAAAAAAAAAAATCCAATAATTTTAAAGGTGTGAAGTGAAATTCTAATCTTTAAAAGTAGAGAAACATTTTTTTTTTCATTTCCCGAAAATACAGTTCAGGTGTGAACAAATAGGAGTTAAGATTTACTTTAAATGTAAGGAAATATTTTGTTTATCATTTTGCACAAAACACAGTTTGTGGACATGTGAAATTTTTATGAGATTGAGAAAGTTATTTTTTTTAAAAATACAAGACTTTTACACATCTGAAATTCCCTGAGAGACTTTTGTTTTTTTAAACATTATAAGAATTTTAAACAAAATTTTTTAAAGGCTGTATCTTTAGGTACCCGTGTACCTATAATCGCAAATAACTATTCGCACCCGGAGTGGCTCCGTACAGATTAAATGGCTTCGGAGCCGGGTGTGATAACAATAATAGTATGAGAATTATTATTTTTTAATTGTTTTTTCTCCTTGTTTTGTCATAGATTCATAGTTTTATTCTTTTTAGTTGTTTTCTTTTATTTTTGCTATGTTAATTTCTCTTAGGACGGGTAGATTTTTTTTCTTTCCTATTTTCTTTTTTAGTTTAAGCCATTTTCGTAGATCATTTTTTTAAAAATCTATTAAAGAAGATGATTTAGATACATTTATTGTTTTCATTTGGATTTTAGAAAAAGTAATAATATTAATTTAATTATTAAAATTAAATCCTTTATTTAAGATTATTTATGTGTATTTTTTAAGTTAAAAGATTTAATCACACATTACTTTATGAATTAATAGGTATTCTAAATAATGAAAATTGCATTCATAGTGAATTAATTTCAACTATTCCTCTAGAGAGCTTGGCTTAGTCAGAACAAAACCACCAATTTTAAACTTTTTCCTTGGCACTAGGAGTCATACATGCAGACACTGACTGTTTTTTCTGATATCTCGAATCTCCTTTCAACAACTTTTCTCATTTGACTTGACCTAATTCACAAGGTAGTTGCAATGAACATCTTAAAGTTAAAGGATGTCATTGTATAAAGTATGAGAAAGAGACTTATTTGTGGAGGACTCGTCTTTTTTTTTACCATATCTGTCTACTGGGTAATTTAATAACACAGTGGTACATAATTTAAAATTTAATATAAAAAAAAAAACCTTAACTGACTTGAGAACATTTTTGATTGGTTGTTAGTTATTTGAGTTGTGTACTCAAGTAATCCATAAAATAAATTAGGGGCCAGTAAGGAGTTAGGCAGCCAATAAACTCATTCAATTAGGTCACATCATTCCTTTGCCATTTGTCTCCTTTTACTTTTCACATTCCTTGTTGGTACCCATACAGTTAACTATTGTTTCTATCATTTCTTCATTTAAGTACAGATGTAATGATTGAGTGGGAGCAAATATATGTGATCTGTGAAGGGAGTTTGGTTTCAAGGCAACCAAGTCATGCCACATTGAAAATAAAATACTGATAACTCTAAATAAATAGAGCCATTGAAAAAAATATAGTACAGTAGAGAATGTCAATATAAATAAGCATGCAAAGTTTCAATTATGTAGTTCCAAAACTATTCCTCCTGATTCATCAATTGACGTCAGAAAAAAAATTAAAATGCTATATCGATAAAAGCTGAAAAAGACACTGACAAATGCTTATTAAAAAAATTAAAGGTTATTTGAACCACATTGGATGCATACACCATGAACACATTCCCTTCGTTAATTAAAAAAAAAAATTTAAGTACATAGATATAATGTATAGAATATAAATGAATGCATTTTCCCAACAACCCACTAGCCTCGAGCCTAATAAAAATAATAAGATCATAAAAACCTCGGAATTTGTTTATGACACATGTAATAAAAAAAATTCAATCATTATGCAGAGAATATAATATAAAAAACCTTGCAAATCTTGAAGCATGTGGTAATAATACTTTTCCTCATTATACATTTCACGTCAGAGATAAATGGAAAATCCTAAATGGACCACTTTAAAAGGAGAAAAAAATTAAATAAAGCAATATTAGAAATATAGGAGTCAAATAAAATTAAATTTAAAGCATATCAATGTGAAAT